ACGGTTGACATTTTTATAAAATACATTAATTTTCCTGTTGCAATTACAGAAAATTATCAAATACTTTCTTCACATGCACAGGACTAATTCAAAGCAATTTAATTTTCAATATGACCAGGAATAAGGAATATATACCTTCAAAAAAATTATTAGAAAAATCATGTGTAAAATATTTATTAGACTAGAAAATTTTCAATACATTATATATGAGATAAGCATTATATCAATATATATGTATAGTGAACATGTCATATGAATCTTAACAGTCAATTCTTACTTTATGAATAACAGAGGGACTAATAAAGGACTATACAATCATGTATAATTTATAGTTTAATTTACATATAGGCTCCTGGTTTAATGTTATTGGATGTTTCACATTTGTCGACTGAGTTTTGAAACCAATAAATACTACTCACATTTATGATTACATGTACAAACATATTATTAATAATTTTTTTGCTAGCACAAACAAGTATAAATCCTCCATGTGATCCCAGAATGCATAAAATCAGCTGGATTTTAAGATACAAGAAAAAAAAACATCATCAATGTCAATCAAATGCAATTTGCCATCTTTGCCTGAAAATGACATATACTAGTACTTTTAAACATTGTAACAATAATATTCATTGCAGCTATCAAACTTGAATTCTTATTTAGATGTAAAATACTTAATCAAGAATGACATTTCTTTTTGAGAATTTGTAACATAAAAATTTATTTACCAGTGTTAATAACTTGTTTAGTAATTGAATCAAAAATTATCTCTCAAGGGTTTCTATTGCAAGTGTATGAAGTTCATTTGTTAAGAATGCTTAAGAAAGTGATATTTCCTCATTTATTTTCAAAGATCATTAAAAAACTACATTTTAAGGATCTTTTAACAATCATGATCAATGATTTTAACATTACTGAAAAAAAAATGAATTGATTTGAGGAGAAAAACAGACTGCAAATTATGCAAAGAATTGACTGCAATTATGATATACAGATATACAGAGATATTGGAAGTCATTTGTTCTTTAAAACATTCTTTTTGCGCAATATTATTTTTAAGGTAAATAAGCAATGTAATTTAAACAGTTAAATATCAAATCTTTTACTTATAACATACATTGAAACATTAAACTTGTTATTTAAAGATTCTTAATTGATGATAAAACATATATTGATATATTTAACCTTTAATTCTTGTAAACAAATTCATGACACGACCCATGTTTACATAATAAAGGTCTGGAGCTCTAAATCCTAAATCCGTCTTGTATCTCGACAGCTGAAATTCGAATTTTTGATAATTTAGTACCTTAGTATTTGTAAAATTTACAAATGGAAAAATATATTTAAAAATCTTTAGCTTAAATTGTGTCAATGTCCTTTTAAGACGCATTAGTCCTAGTAAGATAAAGTAAATGTTACCAAAGTTAACACTATTATGTGATAGGATTGGATTTTATAATATTATAGTCATTATAACTTTTAATAATATTTGCATTGATAATCGATGGCAAAGATAAAGTACTGATAATTAGCAATATTTACCATGATCTCTTGCTCCCGCTTCTGTGTCAAACACATTGTTGATTCAGTAAGAAGTTAACAGCAACAAATTTTCTGATTGGTTAAAATCTTTATTTCACATTCGGAAACTCTCTAGATTTACAGTATGATTTGGGAAATGTCCTTGTCTGAGTTATACATAGAATTCAGTTGTTGATTGGATAAGAGAGACACACCTCCGTATCGCGGTGTATTTAAAGTCCACTATTTTACTTATACTTCGGTTGGTCTGGAACCTTCTCAAAGGTTCGTACCAGCTCACTTTTTGATTAGAGGGGTGGATCCCGGTCCCTGTCTCTGTCTCGTTCAAATCGTTCATCATTATCCTTTTTGTTTTTCTTATTTTTACGTCAATTTTCCAGTTCCTTATTTCTATTTTTGATAAACCGGTTAGGTTAGGCGTAGTAGATTTTTCGTGCAGGGGTGGGTCATTTTCATTCGGACTTAGCGTTGGGTAGGAAGGGCTCTGGACATTGTACATTTGTTAGGTAGGCACTATTCTTATTGAGGCTCATAAGTATAAGGTCGTTAGTACATCAGTTTTCGTTGTAAATATATTAATGTGATATTTTGTGCTGTTAATAAAATACAATTGTGGTCATAATAAATATTTGTTAATTTGCAAACTCTTGTTATTAAAATTCTTGGGTTAGTAAGTCACTTTTGTGACTATTTGAAAATCAAGAGGTTTATTGGTTAGTAAGAAATTGAAATAAAACGCGAAGTACTATTATTAATCAAGAAAGTGTGTGATATTAAAGAGGTATTTTCATACGGTCATTTTCGCTACACTGGTATCGTGGAATTTCCTAAATTGCATTGATTCCATGTAGTGAATTCCGGTTGCAATTATATGACAGGGTCTGCCCTCCATACATTTATTCCAGTAGTTCACAGCTGACTGAAGATGGAGGTCCTGGGAATTGTTGATGTGCCCGCCTGCAGCTGGCTTCTGACTCTGTTATTGTTTTGTTTGTCTGTTTACTTGTAAGTTTTCACTCTCATTTTTTTAGTCTATGTTTGAAATTTATTTATATTTAAAAAAAAAACAACTAACATTTTTGGAAGACGAAATTTACTCGTGCATTCAAAGTTTTTTATGTTTGCAATTTACATGTACGGTTTACCTGTTCTGACATAAAATATGATTTTTAATTTAATATTTAACAAAACAAACTCTGGAACGTTTTAATTTAGTCAAATTGTGTTAGTAAGTTAACCAAATATTTTTTTCCAATTTCAAATTCATATCTTCTGTTCCTTTTGAATAAAGTTAAACCTTTTAAAAGTATATTTGACAAAAAAGGTTTTCAGTTGAGTTATTTCTTTAGCTTTTTATTTTCTGTTTCTTTGTGTATTTTTTAAAATGATATTTCATTGATTGCAATTTTACTCTTATACAGTAATTTGAAATTGTTTGACAATTGTTTTATTGATACAAAGGACACAATCTTTTAAAAACCTTATTAAAAACTCACTATAACAGTACATTTGACAACGAAAATAATCAATTTCAGTACATAAGTATTGATTAATTTTAGGGGCCCACCTTTCCTCTGACCCAAAATATTTATAATTTAAAAAAATAATGATGCGAAATTTTTATTGCCTTATATATTGACATGATACTTAAAAATTTGGAGATCAAAGTGTATCAATAATCGCAAAATTCTTCAAAGGAGTCCGCACAAATTTTAAAGTTTGAATAAAAACACTGAAAAATAAATTATCAGCGGCAAATTTCGTTTGAAGAAAAGTTTCTTCAAACTAAACTAAAAGTTTCCTTTTAGTCAGATTCCAAAACTGACTATCTGTCAGAAAAAAAAAAAATTATTTTCTTTTGAATGTAGGTATTCAAAATATAAGTTGAGCTTTTGGAGTAGACTTGGTGTCCCTCATCCTAAACCAACATTATTCAAAGGCCTTAGCCCTTTGATGAAAGATGTAAGTCATTCATATATTTCTATTTAAGAATTTCATTAGTTAATTTTATAAACATAAATTCATCAATATTAGGATTAATTTATTTATTTACAAACTGAATATTTAAATTTAAGTACGATTGCAATTTTAAGTATTTTTATAGCAATCTTGATAGCGATATATATCTGCTTTTCAAAAAATCTTAAAGGTACGTTTTCAATTCTTTTTATTACGTAGGGTGTTGGAGAATTTGACTTGAAAATGCATTCGACGTACGATAAAGTTGTTGGGTACGTACTCTGCTGAACTTACAAAGTCACTGTATACATCGTGGTCTCATATAAAACTTCGTTACTTAGTCACTTACATATTTATCAGGGAGCTATCCGTGACAATACATTCATTTGCTAATTCGTCGATATGAATGATATGGAGAAGTTTAAAATGAGCAGTGATAAATAAGACACCAAGATATTTAAGGTTATTTTAAAGCAGGTTTTCGAAGAACATTATAATACTGATATGTCTTACAATGACCGACAGTTATTTCAAACCGTGGTTTCAAACAAAAGCAAGTTCCTTATTTAACTTTTTTTATTTTATTTCAAAAACGTCGTCAAATTGATACATTATTTTAATATTGAAAACATTATTATATACATATATTATGATGTGATATTATGCAAGTCTATATTTCATTACACAATAAAATAAATCTGTGAATTGTGGTTACATGTGCCGGGTGGTTGTGACCATTTTTAGACTATTTTGATCTCCTTTAGAAGAAGAGCTTCATATAAAGATATAATAAAATTATCAAATTTTAAAACTAAAATTTATGAAAATTTTCTTTGCCAAATGATAGTTGACAGCTTAAGATTTCATATCTAAACAGTCAGTTATATCGGGTGGTTAATCAAAAAATTATTTGTTGACCTCCTAGCCTACTTAAGAACAAAATTATTGTTTCCAAGGAATCATTCTTATTCTTTAACAAAATCTCTGAAGATAATATCAAAAATACTAAAATTTTCTCATTTTTCTCGTTCTCGTTGATATCTATGCAGAGTTTTGATGCTTTTTTGTTAGACTTCCAATGGGTACATATAGTTTTTATTTCTCTATTTTTATTTGTCTACATGCTGTGGCATACAGTTATGCGTTAAAATACATAAACGACGTTAAAACCAATAAATGTTATTAATTTTTATTCACTTATCGATTCCATTAAATTTATATAATGCTGAATTGAATCTCAAAGCTGCATTTAGGCACGATTATATGAAGACATATATATATTTATATTTATATTAGTTTTAGAGTTGTAATTTGTGCTTTATAAATAAAATTAATTTCATCACAACATGTATTGGTAACGATCCTCTAAAAACTAATGTCCAAAATAACTGTATCTCACTTCCATTCTCAATGACCGTGTAGTGTAGGGCAGCGTTGTGAGAATTCCATCGGCATCGAAAGCAAGTTTTTTAACTTGCCTAGATAGCCGAGCGGTCTAACGCGCTGTTCCTGCACTGCTAGGAGACAGATTCCGTAGGTCGAGAGTTCAACCCCGGGCTGGGGCGGAAGTGAGTATCCTTGTAAAAGTGAATTTCTCTGTGCTTTCTATATTGATATTCCTTCACTTAGGGCAGTAATATTAGTTTAAGAGTTGTTGTAATTTGTGCTTTATAAACAAAATTAATTTCATCACAACATGTATTGGTAACAATCCTCTAAAAACTAATGTCCAAATAACTGTATCTCACTTCCATTCTCAATGACCGTGTAGTGTAGGGCAGCGTTGTGAGAATTCCATCGGCATCGAAAGCAAGTTTTTTAACTTGCCTAGATAGCCGAGCGGTCTAACGCGACAGATTCCGTAGGTCGAGAGTTCAACCCCGGGCTGGGGCGGAAGTGAGTATCCTTGTAAAAGTGAATTTCTCTGTGCTTTCTATATATATATATATATATATATATATATATATATATATATATATATATATATATATATATATATATATATATATATATATATATATATATATATAGACAACTCTTCCATATAAAGATTCTGTTTTTATACGCCCGTCTTAAGACGGGACGTATTATGTTATAGGCTTCGTGTCCGTCCGTCTGTCCGTCTGTCCGTCTGTCTGTTAGCTTTTTCGTTTCCGGCTCATAACTTTAATACTACTAGGCCTAAGATTATCAAACTTTGTCATCTGATGCATCTTGGGTAGAAGGTGTGTCGCGTACAAAAAGTAGGTCGCTCTGACCTTTAATTAAGAAGTTATAGCCAAATATGGAAAAATCCTTTCCGGCCCATAACTAGAAAACCATAAGACCTACAATCATCAAACTTGGCCAGTTTATGCATCTTAGGTAGAAGGTGTGTCGCGACCTATTTCAAGGTCACTGTGACCTTTAATTTAAGTGATTTTTTTTTAAAAAAATGTGTCTTTTTACTATTCATTTACACATCCCAAATAATGTAAGAGTCTTGCACTGTTCTTATTAAAAAAGTGTTAAATCAAGAAAATACTTATTTTTTCTAAGCATATACTTGACAGCAATCTATAACAAATATAATGTATGTCAGAGAAATCCTGCCTCTCCCATGGGTGTAATTATCAAGCACTGGTCAAGAAGAATTTTGATAACAGAAAATTGCATGTCAAATTAGAGAGAAATTAATGGGTTTTGAGTGCGAGGAGCCAACTGACAGAGCATTGCTGTTATCTATATCCCTTGAGTATTGGGCAAATGGGTAAGCCTGTTTGATAAAAAATAGCTTTTGTTGACTAGCTTAAGTTTTAAAATGAATTTGATGAA